GGAGGGAGGGAGGGAAGAAGGAAGGAAGGAAGGAAGGAATGGAGGGAGGGAGGGAGGGAGGAAGGAAGGATCTTATGCTGTACAGAATTGCAGAGGGGAGGGACAGAACTTGATACCCTAATTCATGGGAGAATTCTGCTTTTTGCCTTTTCCCACTGGTCCAGAATGCATCAGCTTTTCATAGTGATGGAACTGGTCCAGGAGAGAAGGAGAAGAGATGGAGCAGTAAAAGGAGGAACACAAGGGTGAAGGATGGGAAGCGAGAGGCAATGGGGGTGCGGCCGTGAGGATCGGTGCAGCCAAGAGGGAGGAGGGAATCAGGAAGCGAGGCCGGGGCGGCTTGGCAGTGCTCCCTGTCTCTCTCTGTTAACATGAATGGCCCTGCTGCTGGTCTTTAGGGTAAAGGATAATTACTAGCCCCTCAGTGTAAAGCATGCACTTTACCACATGAGTCCTACGTGGGCATTTCTCTGAGGCTAGAGGTGTGGGTGGCTGGGACACACACCGGTGACATCACAGAGGGAGCTGAGCTCAGGGAGAAGAAACTTGAGGCCCCTAGATTGCTGTGCCAGGCCCAGCAGGCCTGGCCTCAACCTGTCCATCCTAGAGGGACCGACCCTCAACAGCCCAGCAATACACTCTCTTCTCTCCCCACCCTCTCCTCTTGAAGCCTGTCAGACTCAGAGACTGCGTGAGAGCAGGCCTGGGTGACACAGGAGGGACAGAAGAAGGACGAGCTGGGCCTGCCGTGCCGTGCAGTGCAGTCCTTGTGCAGCCTTTTCTTGTAGGTGTGCTCCATGTGCTGGTGGTCTAGAGCTTTTTTTACTTTCCCATAGAGATTTGCCCCTCCATTGCCTAAGTGACAAGAGGTCTTTGTTTAAAAAAGCCAGGCAAGAAAAATATAACCTCCAAGCCTTATTTCTACGTAAAACTCTTTTTCTAACTTATTTTTAAAAACAACAATAACAAACAAACCTCTTCAGCCAGGGGAGAGAAGCATGAACAGTACGAAACTACCAATATGGAAAGCCTTCCTGGAAATGGAGATTGCAGAGCAATCTTTCTGGCCCAGGGGCCAGAAAGCACTGGTTGCAACTTCTGAGCATGTATAGAGAGAATGGAGGACAGGTGACACTAAAGCCATTCCTCTCATCATCTAGGAGCAATCAGAGAATCCCTTTAACACTCTGGAGGCAGAGCCAGCCTGAATGCCTATAACCCAGTACTCAGGAAAAGGATCGTTTTAGTCTAAATTAATAGATTCATACTCTAGTTAAAGGTCTGTGGATACTTTAGGGATTGGAATCAATTGAGTCTATCTTTCATCTAAAAAGCAAGAATCAGGCACAGGGTTCATGCTGTAACCCTTGTAATTGCTACTCAAAAGGTAGAGATTAGAAGGATCAAGGTTCAAGGCAAGCCCAGGGACAAAGTTAATGAGATCCTCATCTAAACCATGATAGCTCAGGCCTATAATCCCAGCCACACAAGAGGCAGAGGCAGGAGGATCTTATCTGGACTGCCAAGGCAAAAAGTATGTGAAACACTATGTGAAACACTAAAAGCAAAAAGACTGGGCATGTGGTTTAAGCTGTAGAGTGTCTGTCAAACAAGCATGAAGACTTGAGTTCAAATTCCAGTACAACAAAGGGAGAACAAAAAAAGCAAGAAAGGCACCAATTTAGCATGGAACTTAGCATCACTTCAAACTCAGCTATTTTACTAGTTTGTCTTATGTTTAAAAAGTAGGCTAGGGTTGGGTGTCAGTACTCACTCCTAGCTACTTAGGAGGCTGAGATCTGAGGATCACGGTTCAAAGCCAGCCCAGCTGGGCAGGAAAGTCTGTGAGACTCTTACCTCCAATTAACCACCAGAAAACCAGAAATGATGCTGTGGCTCAAGTGGTAGAGCACTCACCTTTGAGCTGAAGAGCTCAGGGACAGTGCTCAAGCCCAGAGTTCAAGCTCTATGATGGATCAAAAACAAGAAGAAAAATAGTGATGCCAAGGGGGAGTGTTCTCCAGCTACCACTTGAGCCACAGCTCCACTTCTGGCTTTTGGAGGGTTAATTGGAGATAAGAGTCTCATCGCAAGCCTTGAGCTGAAGAGCTGAGGGACAGGGTCTAGACCCAGAGGTCAGGCCCATGACCAACCAAAAAAAAAGCTCAGGGAGAGCGCCCAGGCCCTGAGTTCAAGCTCCAGGACTTGCACAAGAAAAAAAAAAAAAAGAAATACAAGTGTGAAGCCAGACGCCAGTGGCTCACACCTGTCATCCTAGCTACTCAGGAGGCTGAGATCTGAGGATCACGGTTCAAAGCCAGCCTAGGCAGGAAAGTCTGTGAGACTCTTATCTCCAATAAACCACCAGAAAACCCAAAGTGGTGTTGTGGCTCAAGTAGTAGAGCGCTAACCTTGAGCTGAAGAACTGAGGGACAGTGTCCAGAACCAGAGTTCAAGCTCCACGACCAACCAAAAAAAAGAAAAAAAGAAATACAATTGTGAGCCACTGGCTCCTGGCCAGGATCTCACTACATAGACCAGGCTGGCCTGGAACTAGTGATCCTCCTGACTCAACACTGGAATTACTACCTATCAAACAGAATCCCTACACAGACGGGAACATGAGCCAGATAAAATGAAAAGGAACTGTAATAACAATAGTAATAGCTGGTATTGAGTACTTAAACAATAAACCTCAAAGTTTGAGGTTCAAAGACTCAGAGAGTCCCAGAGGGACTCTGCGTCAACAAACTTAGTACACTAATTAAAATTAAAAATACAGAAACAGGCTAGGGATGTGGTTTAGAGGTAGAGTGCTTGCCTGGCATGCATGAAGACCTACGTTCAATTCCTCAGTCCCACATAAACAGAAAAAGCTGGAAGTGGGACTGTGGCTCAAGTGGTAGAGTGCTAGCCTTGAGCAAAAAGCAGCTTGGGGACAGCATCCAGGCCTTGAGTTCATCAAGCCCCTCTTCCCCTCTCCCCCCAGTTCCTCAAGCTCCCAAGGCTGGCAAAAATCAATCAATCAATCAATTAATTACAATACTGAATGAATGAAACTTTGGAACACAGGGATCTCATGCCTATAATCCTAGCTACTCAAGAGGCTGAGATCTGAAGATCTGAGTCTTCTCTCCAATTAATTACCCAAAAGCTGGACATGGAGCTGGGCCTCAAGTGGTCTTGAGCACAAAATCTCAGGGATAGCACCCAGGCCCTGGGTTCAAGTTCTAGGAATGGCACAAAACACATTTTAAAAATGCAGATACTTGGAAGGGTCAGGATTCACTGAGACTGGCCGGGGCCAGGACCAAGCTTAGCATAGTAAGGAAGTATACCCTCCTCCAAATGAGGAAGGTGCCACACCCTATCCCCACTCTGATCCTTCTTTGTTGTTACTTAGGGTTTTGTTTCTAGCCCCTCCAAGGGCTAGAATTGAAAGAGAGAGCCACTGTACCCTGCCCCGACACTAATCCTTGGACAGCCCTCCACACTGCACACTGACGATGTTACTTGTCCTTAGCGTGTCTGACGTGGGAATCCCAGACTCGTGATGGGGTTGAAGGGGCCTCTGCTGTACATTGCCCCTCCTTGCACCAGGCCTCCTCTCTGGCTGAGCAGAAATGTCTCCTGATAATGGTTCTTCTGGAAGCTCAAAAAAAAATGTTGTCCATATTTATTTTCTTCTTCCTTTTTTTTTTTTTTTTTGTCGGTCGTAGGGGCTGACCTCTGGGCCTGGGCACTGTCCCTCAGCTCTTCAGCTCAAGGTCAGCACCACTTCTGGCTTTTTTCTGCTTATGTGGTGCTGAGGACTCGAACCCAGGGCCTCACGCATGTGAGGCAAGCACTCTACTACTGAGCCAACTTCCCAGCCCTCTCTTTTCTTTTTTAAGTGCCAGTCCTGGGGCTTGAACTAAGGGCCTGGGCACTGTCATCAGCATTTTTGCTCAAGGCTAATGCTCTATTTCTTGAGCCACAGATCCGCTTCTGGCTTTTTGCTAGTTACCTGGAGTTAAGAGTTTCATGGACCTTTTTGCCAACCCTAGCTTCAAAAAGCAATCCTCAGATCTCAGCTTTCTGAGTAGCTAGGATTCTAGGTTTAAGCCACTGGAACCTGCCTGTCATTTATCTTTTCAAGGCTGGCACTCTACCACTTGAGCCACTTCTCCACTTTTAGTTTTTTGCTGGTCAATTGGAGACAGGAATCACATGGACATTCCTGTCCAGGATAGCTTTGAAACACAATCCTCAGATCTCAGCCTCCTGAGTAGCTAAGTTTATAGAAATAAGCCACTGGTGCTCAGCTGTTGCCTGCATTTCAAGCCTCTACAGCTCACAGAACTTAGCGGGGCAGTTGCTGCTGACTCCGACTCCATCTGATGGCTCCTCGGCTGAGAATGGCAGCCAGCGTGAGACCTCTCACGCAGGACACAGGTCAGGCTCCCAACCTCTCTCTTTACTTCCTCTTCTTAGAAGACAGTATGTTTTGTGCTCGCAACCTTGTGGCCCACTTTCATTTGAAGGTGACCACCATGGAGCCCAACCATGCTCCTGGAGTTCTCCTAACACAGGCTTCCTGGCAAATCTTCCAGTGAGGCCCTTCTGCTCCTGGGCCATTTCCTCCACTTCTTCCATAAGAAGAAACCCTTGACAGGCTGGTCCTTTATTTCCATCCCCTGCTGGTCAAAAGAAACAAATACAATCTTCTTCTACCACAGTTGTCCAGACCCACTCTGATGATAAGGAGACCACAGTGGCCACAGGTGAAGGGCCCCATGGCGCCGGCGCCTCCTTGGAGGTGTTTCCACAGATGTGAAGACTTCCCATATCCATTTCTCCCGGGAGGCCCAGGCACTGATGGCTCATTCCTCTGGATAACAAACTCCGACACGGATGTGAAGTTCACTATAAGAAGGGGACGGTGGAGGGCTATGACCTTGAGGGGTGGCCTCCAGGCTGTGTCGGCTTTGCCCTGCTGGGTTATGTGCTGCAAGGCCAGAAATGCACAGGAAGCCACGGGAGCTGAGCAAGGCTCGGGGTTTAGCACATCAAGCGCTTGAGGGCCTGGTGAACAGGCCTATCTACCTCTGGGAAGAAAATGTCAATAAAAGTTGGTGATATGTCAGAAAAATTAACAAATGTGAGGCCATTTCTTTCTACCCTATGAGTGGAATAGGAAGCCAGGTGCTGGTAGCTCACGCCTGTCATCCTTGCTACTCAGGAGGCTGAGCTTTGAGGATCAAAGTTCAAAGCTAGCCCTGGCAGGAAAGTCTGTGAGACTCTTATCTCCCATTAACCATCAGAAAACCAGAAGTGGCGCTGTGGCTCAAGTGGTAGAACACTCACCTTGAGCTGAAGAGCTGAGGGACAGCGCCCAGACTCAAGAGTGCAAGCCCCATGACCAACATAAAAAAAAATAAATAAGGGTAGAATAGGGGAGATATAAACAGTGAGAGGCAGAAAGCAAAAGGCTCCACCCTTCCATTGGTACTACCAAGATGTTAGCCAAGTTCTTCCTTTTTCCACCTAGATGAGTACTTGTAACAATATTATTATTATTATTTTATGTGTGTGCACATGCACGCACGCATGCATGCTGTACTGAGGTTAGAACTCAAGGTTTTTCTACTCAAGGCTGGTGCTCTACTACTTGAGCCAAAGCTACACTTCAGGCTTTTCCTGGTTAATTGGAAGTAAGAGTCTCACTAACTTTTCTGCTTGGGCTGGCTTCAAACCAGATACTCAGATCTCAGCTTCTTGAGTAGCCAGGTCTAACATGATCTTTTGCTAGGACCTGATTTGGTTACAGTCAAACTCCACTCTCCTGGGTTGCTTGAATCAGCGCACACGTTGTGTGTATACATGCGTACGTGTATGTTCACACAGAGGTGAGGTGCATTATTATAGTTAGAGGGAGGAAATCACAGGGGATCTTTATTTTCCAGTGCTAAGGATTAAACTCAGAGCCTCACACATGCCAGGCAAGTACTTTGCCATGAGCCACACCCTCACCCCATAACAGACTAGAATTCACATGCCAAGAAGCCAAGAAAGAGACTCGTCTTCTCTCTTCTTTTTTGGGCAGTCTTACTATGGGGCCCAGGCCAACCTCACACTCTGGTTCAGCCTCCCAATGTTGAGATTATAGGCATGGTGAAAGTACTCTATGTATGATAAATATCATATGTATATGAGGGCTATGAGGATTGCTACAACCTAGATCCAGTCTGAGGCCACCGGTTCCTGCTCCATTACCCCACACAACCAGCGACTGAGCATCACAGAGAGACTCCAGACAGCTAAGAGAGGTAGCTTCTAGGAAACCTTGCCAAAATTACTGCAGTGCCCAGCCCTTCCCCTGATCACAATCACTACCCATACATCCCCACCTCTGACAAGCCTTCCAGCCCAATGGCTGTGAGATACCCCAGCACCCAGACCCTTTCCCACAGCCTGTCCCCAGACCTGCCTTTACAGGGATGTGGCTTTCTCTCATCCAGAGGAAAGGCAATCAACAAATTGATCCTGATCAATGTGAATAGCAGGGATCCTGGCAATGGGAAACAAAATGGGAGTGCAAGCCCTCTATCCTCCTGAACCACCCTCCCCTCAGGTTGGCCAGCAGCTACCTTCCCTTCTGACCTCTTTTAGCAAAAGCAAGTACTTCACGTTCTCCTGGCATGTCTGTTGAGAAAGGCACTGGTCAGGTGGGGCAAGCTCCGGTAAGACTGGAGTGGCCTGGAATCATTCTCAGAGCCAGGAAAGCCATATGGCTCACAGGAGCCACAATGCGGACCTCAGTCTTCTCCCAATTCCTTCCTTCCTTCCTTCCTTTCTTTCTTTCTTCTTTCTTTCTTTCTTTGTCAGTCGTGGGGCTTGAACTCTGGGCCTGAGTGCTGTCCCTCAGCTCTTCAGCTCAAGGCTAGCCTCTACTACTTGAGCCACAGCACCACTTCTGGCTTTTTCTGCTTATGTGGTGCTGAGGGTTCGAACCCAGGGCCTCATGCATGCAAGGCAAACACTCTACCTCTGAGCCATCTTCCCAGCCCACTCCTCTCCCAATTCCTAAGACACTGTAATAATGTTCCTTCCTCCCTTATTCCCTGTCTTTGTTTTTCTTTCTTTTGCTTTCCTTTCTTGCCTTCCTTCCCATTCTTCCCTGTCCTCCCTCCCTTTGCTTTTTTGGCTAGTACTATGGTTTGTTTTGTTTTGTTTTTGGTTGATCCTGGGGCATGAACTCTGGGTTTGGACTCTTCAGCTCAAGGTTAACAGTACCACCAGACCCACAGCGCCTCTTCTGGTTTTTGAGTGGATAATTGGATATTAGAGTCTCATGGGGACTTTCCTTCCACCCCCCACCCCAGCTGGTTTTGAACCTCGATCCTCAGACCTCAGCTTCCTGAGTAGCTAGGATTACAGGTATGAGCTACCAGTGCCTGGCTGGTACTATGGTTTGAATTCAAGGTCTCACACTGTTGATTGGGTGCCCTACCACTTAAGCCACACTGCTTTTTGCAGATTATTTTGGAAATTGAGTCTTTTCCACTTCTCTGCCTGGATTGGGTTCAAATCATGATCCTCTGGGTGAGCTACAGGGGCCTAGCACTTCCAGGCCTTTTATTCACCCAAACCACTGAGTTCCTACAGAATGCCAAGCAGCTAGAAAGAGGTCTCCATGCTAATGTCATCTCCATGAAACCCTGATAATCTGAGGAGTAAGGAGGCTCTACTTTGGTTACTGAGGTGAAAGGGGAAGTACAAAGACTCTGGCACCCCTCAAACCCTGGTTTCATTTTTTTGGGGGGTCTGGTCATGGGCCTGAACACTGTCCCTCAGCTCTTCAGCTCAAGGCTAGTGCTCTACCACTTGAGCCACAGAGCTACTTCTGGTTTTTTTTTTTCTGCTTATGTGGTGCTGAGGAATCGAACCTAGGATCTCATGCATGCAAAGCAAGCGCTCTACCACTGAGCCACCTTCCCAGCCCTCAAACCCTGGTTTCAATCATAGCTCTAGTTACTAGAGCTGAAAGAGCTTAAAATATCACTGAGGGGCTAGGAAGGTGGCTCAGTGGTAGAGTGCTTGCCTTGCATGCACGAGGCCCTGGGTTCGATTCCTCAGTACCACATAAGCAGAAAAAAAAAAGCCAGAAGTAGCTCTGTGGCTCAAGTGGTAGAGCGCTAGCCTTGAGCTGAAGAGCTGAGGGACAGCGCCCAGGCCCAGAGTTCAGGCCTCATGATGAACAAAAATAAACAAAACAAAATAAAATAAAATGTCACTGAATTTCTCTGAGTTTCTACAGCTAGAAAACAAGGATTGTACCTGCCACCCTGGTAAGACATGTAAATGAAAGGAAACCGTACAGGAAGGGGAGATGGTAGACACTCAGAGGCCAGTGCTCAAGTCCTGAGCCTTTTGTTCTTCAAGTGTGGCCCCCCCGACCCCCAACCCCTACTTCGAGTAGAGGACAAGAGGCTTCAGCCCCCCCCTCCAGGAGCCCCTCGGACTCCCTGCTGGTGCCTCCCCTGGGGATCTACAACAACTACATCCAGCTCTGGGCCTTGGGCTGTCCTGGGAGTGCTGCTCACTGGATGTGAAGAACAAACCACAGACAGGCCCAGGCAGGTAAGGCATCTCTGCTGTTGCCAGCCCTGCCCCAGCAGTGTAGGGAGGGACAGGCTTTTCCCACCAACAGGCCTCAGGTCATGACTCTCCCCCTTCTGGTTGGGCTACTTTTAGGAGGCCGGGGCATGCAAGGAGCAATACTGTCACCAAGAGGGCTAAGAGACAGGACAGAGAATGATGGGACCCCAGTCTGTACTGGCAAAGGGTGGCATCTACCTGGTGGAAGCAAGGGGCGGGGCAATGTGATCTGGATCTGCAAGCTCAACCCCTGGCCCTCCAGGACTCCAGATGTTCTTAGCACTGTGGCAGCGGAGGGAGGTTAATGTGGGAGGGAAAAATATCTCATTGGGGGCTGGTGGCTCACACCTGTAATCCTCGCTCAGATCAGAGAATGGCATTTTGAAGCCAGCCCAGGCAAAACAAAGTCCATGAGACTCATCTCTATTAACCACCACAAAGCTGGAAGTGGAGCTGTGGCTCAAGTAACAGAGCACCAGCCTTGAGTGAAAAAATTAAGGGAGAGCACCCAGGCTCTGAGTTCAAGCCCAAGCACCAATACTAAATAAATAAATAAAATCCTTTGGTATTGGGGTTAAAATATTCTTTTTTTGCGTTGGCTGTGGGGCTTGAACTTTGGGCCTGGGCACTGTTCCTCAGCTCTTCAGCTCAAGGCTAGCTTTCTACCACTTGAGCCACAGCCCCACTTCCAGTTTTCTGGTGGTTTACTGGCAATAAAAAGTCTCTTGGGGGCTGGGAAGGTGGCTCAGTGGTAGAGTGCTTGCCTTGCATGCATGAGGCTCTGGATTCAATTCCTCAGCACCACATAAGCAAAAAGAAAATAGCCGGAAGTGGGGCTGTGGCTCAAATGGTAGAGTGCTGGCCTTGAGCTGAAGAGCTGAGGGACAGCGCCGGCCCAGAGTTCAGGCTCCACGACTGACCAAAAAAAAAAAAGTCTCATGGAAGTGGCGCTGTAGCTCAAGTGGTAGAGCCTTGCCTTGAGCTGAAGAGCTGAGGGACAGCGCCCAGGCCCAGAGTTCAAGCCCCACGACCTACAAAAAAAAAAAAAAGTCTCATGGACTTTCCTGCCCTGGGCTGGCTTTGAACCACAGTCCTCACATCTCAACCTCCTGAGTAGCTAGGATTACAGGCATGAGCCACCAACACCCAGCTAGGGTTAAAATATTCTTAAACAGTGTTTGGCCATCTTGCTAGCCTCATCACCTACTTGTATGAGCCACATGGTTTGTGCCGGTCCACGGGGCCATGCCTGCCCGGGCTCTTTT